CACCTTCTTCCTTCGTCACTACACCCCTCTCATCGAGCAGCTTCCAATCCACCCTTCACGCGCCGCACTACCCTCCCTTTCGAACGTCTCACTGCACTTCCCCTGGGGAGGAAGGGAGAGGGTGGCGACAGGGGGTTTCAAGTAGAATATTCGAACCGCGCGAATACATTAGATTTCATAAACTTTCGACAAAAAGGCCCCCGGCGGGGGGAGCGGGGGGACAAAAGAATCCTCGCCCCTCCCCCCCCCTGAGTTCGCCAATGGATGAGCATGAGTCGTTCGTGCATGATTTGGGCCATTTTTCCCCTATCAAGTGCATTTTGGACATTTCATTGTGTCCAGAAATATCAGTATTATCAGGGCATTCGGTGTAAAAGGCTTCCTCATTTGATCCGTATAATATTCGAACCGCGCGAATACATCTTTCGGCAAAAATGTACACGAGGACCGCTGGATAATAATATGCATATGGAATTTTCAGCAAAGTCACACCAGATTCCTGTATCCTGGGCTATTTGCTTTCAATTATCACAGTGTATCAGTATATTATCCATTCGATCTGTATAATCCATTCGATCTTTTTTCCATTCTTTCCTATTATAACTTTCTGTTATCAGTCATAGCATCTTCTTGAGAGTGTTTCAAATATGAATCGCTGGTGAATTTAGCCATTTCAAGTACCGTATCAAAATATCGTAGCGATTTGCCGATGTCGGATACGGTACCAAGTAACAGGTACGGTACCAAGTAGTAATGCTTGCAGATACGGTATCTGATGGCTGGTACAGTACCAAGTAGTAATGTTGTTTTCTTGCTATAAAACAAAGGATTCAATTCCGCTCTACTCAAGTCGTTCATTCGTTTCGATGGTAAATTGGTACTGGCACTTGTTAAAACTGTTTTTGAAAGAGGGAACCATCGATGGCCTGTCAACAGGTGGTTACTTTGCTACTATTCGAACTACTTCCAAGTAAATCCGTCTTTTACAGAAAGTAAATCCAAAGGGGTTTATTTTGGTTTTTAATTGAACCTGCAACGTGTATTTACAGAATGAGCTTGTTGCCTTTTCTTAATCAAAACATTCCCCTCCAGTCGCTTTTTTCCCTTTTCTACTACACTAAATTGGGGTTTATGAAGTAGCGAAATTCGAAATCTCAAATTTGGGTTATTAAACTTGAGTTATTCAGAAGAGAATGTTGTGTAAATTTCTTACATGACATTCTCCCTCCGATAGTTATTTTTTTTTAGATAGAAACAGATAGGAGTATTGTTAGAAATGATGATATTATAAATACTGGAATAGAAAAGATTGGATTAAGTGTTATGTGTAAGAAGACATGTTTCGATGCAGTCTGTGTTTCATCCCTTAGCTGTAACAGCATTGTAAAATAAGCTTTAATAAGAAAATTACAAAGGGAATGAAGATAAATTAAAAATTACATAAACAAAGTCGGCCTATTTATTCAATATGATTTCTAGTGTAAATTTCATCTTCTTGTTATTCTTTGCTACTGTTTATTTAAAAATCGCTTTTTGTTAGCTTCGAATTTGCCCTGTACCAGTGGATAAGGCGAACAACAGGTGATTCAATTAATTCACTTAATAGCTATTGATTTTGCTGTCGGTTGTCGAATTTCAGGATGGGATAGCATAGAGTGCGCCTGGATTGTTGGTATAAGCTAGAATTAAGCACAGGGGTCGAGAGCAGTGCTTGGAGAAGTGCAGCGTCAGTGGCAGCAAAAGCAGTGGGGGAATTGCCTGAGGGAGTTTGCAGGTTTCCCCATTCTCTTATTCTTTTTGCCTTTGGCCTGGCTGGCCAGCTCACCAAAGGGCAGTAGCAGCAGCAAAACCATCACTCTCGACTGTGGTCTTTTGAGGATACAACACAATGGGCAATACGGGTAGCTCAATCACCGATCTAAGTCTATTCTCGAAAGGTGGTGTTTTTACACGTGATCAAATTGATGAATATCAGGCAAGTATTGCTTACGGAACTTATTAAATTTCTTTGATTTTTTTCCGGTATTTTTACCAGGAATATTAAGATTGCCTGGGCAATCACAGTGGGTATACAGTAACTTGTCCTTATTACGTTACTGGGATTGTGTGCATCATAATTAATATCTCTACATTATATGTTATTGGGATTATTTTGTTATCTTTTATTATCCTTAAGAAATTTTTCCGCATTTTTCTTCTGAATTTTTTCGCATATATTAATTATTTTACACTTTAATTTTTGATTTTTTTTAAAATAATACATGTGGAACTTTTCTTTCAGCCCATAAAAAAAGACCCGGGTCTGGCAAAAAGCTAGACTTTAAAATAAATATAATTAAACCCCTCTTCTGCTTTCACTATTTGCAAGAGAGCAGGAGGCAAGTGAAAGTAACAAGAGTGATAGCATTTTACCAGTAGCGTCCAATCACTGGTAGAGCTACTTTGATTTGCTTCCACTACACTTATAATAAGCGCTAATCGAATAACTGTGTTAAAAAGTGAAAGAAAAAAAATTAATTAAAAATTTGAATCAATAAATTTCACTTCAATTTCTAAATCTTACATATACTAAATCCAAATTATTTTTTTTTTGATTAGGAAGATGAAGGAAAAATAAAAAGTTGTTTCAGCTGAGGGATCATTAGTTCCAATCGGCACATGTTTTTTTTACTGGACAATAATACCGTCGTTTGACAAAAAAGCGACTAAAAATTGCTCCTTTCGTTACTAAAAAGTTCTGCGCCTCAACAACTTTATTTTTAAAACGGCTACTAGTTTATTACGGAATCATATTCAAAACGATCCATGCCATCTACTTTTTCCTTCATTTTGTCTCAGCACCAAATTAAATTTGACCAGTTTTTGGCTTCGAACTAGCGTCAGTTCGTACAAAACCATAGGCGGATCCAGGGGGAGGAAGATGACATAGGCACCAGTGCTGCAAAGTCTAGGAATAAAACTAAAGCCTAAAGTAACTCTAATTAGCAATGTTACAACACTATTCTTAGTTTTTCATGTTTCCAGGGTGGAAGAAGACTCTCCGTCTCCACCCCACGTTCCCCCTCCCCTCCCCCCGTCAGAACTCCGTCCTGGATCCGCCTATAGCCAAAACGAGGTATATGGGCAAACAGCCACGTGTATAATTTGCCCTGTCTGCTACATGATGTATAGGAATTGCGCTGTGAGCCGAGCCTTTACTGGTAGGTGCGGGGCCAAACATGAGCAAAGAGAAAATTTGGCGAAGTGCTTGCACATTGCAAGACTTGCGGGTTATTTACTGTTATGGGACAGTTTGTATGCGGAAAATTAGTCAGTGGATGTTTTTAAGGGGATTAAGCAAGACTGGGGAATCAGGGAGTAGCCCCGCTGGCTTTTTCATACCACCCAATTTATATAATTTTTAAAACAGTAAAAAGTTACAGGACTGCACATTTTTTACCCGCAAAGATATCTTGCGTCTGTACAAACGTTTTTATGCGCTGAATCCGCTGAAAGTGCCGACGAATATGCAAGGCAATCGTCCAGCAATCATTACGCTATGCTTTGAGGAAATCGAGAAAATGCCCGAGTTAAGGGTAATTTTTGCAAAAATCTCCTTTAAATTATTTTGTTATTTTTGCAAAAGTCTAACGTGCCACACGTCTTTTAACATATTTTTGCAAAATTTAGCACGAAAACTAATTTTTTATCACATTTTTTTCAATATTTTCTCGCTCCGCTGTTTATTCCAGAGGATAAAGAGCGAAAATGAGACCATGATATCCTTGACCAAAGTGACATTTTCCCCTAATCCCTTTTGCGCAGCTTTTATTTTGGTACTTTGAAGTGCCCGGCATTTGGGTACATCCCAGTAAAATCCGTAATTTTGGATCCTCACATCGATTTTCCGAGTGATCTCAGCAATCTTTTGGATTTTTTCCAGCAGTTTTAGCGGATTTGGACCCGGTTAACACTTTTAAATTGATTTAAATGCCTTTCTTTGGTTTTTTAATTAAATTCCGAGCCTGTCTGGCAATAAAATTTTATTCCTCTACACATCTACTTCCAATCCTCCTGGTCTAATTTTACAAAGCGATCTGTGCTTTCTTTGCTATCGCCATCGAGTCCAAATTTCCCCACCACTTTTAGTGCTTGGCTACGGCAGTGTTCTTGAATTTTTCAGTCTTTTCTAGACGTTTCCTGGGAATATCAGTGTAATTTTGGGCACATTCTCACTGAAACTCATTTTTTGCTCCAGGAAAATCCATTTCGACGACGTATATGTCAGGTGTTTTCGGATGATGGTGCCGGAAATTTAACATTTGATGACTTCCTGGATATGTTTTCTGTTTTTAGTGAAATGGCACCGCTGCAGCTGAAGCTAAAATATGCATTCAGAATATATGGTAACAGAATTTTGTGCTTTTCCAGCTTTACTTTTCATCTGTTTTTTTAAGTTACTTTAATTCAAAAGACAGTTAATTAAAATTTGCAAAGGCTTTTAAGCAGTGAGTATGGGAATTTGATGCTATTGCTGTTGT